CCTCTTATTCTTGATATCATAAACTGCTTGCATGTACGTTTATGAGAGCGATTATTTATCTTGTACCTGACGAAAACTTAATGCCTGCATGGTTATGTATCTTGCTATACGTTTTTATTGGTTTGGTGTGTGTTCACTCAAAATCGTAATTCAAAGGTAATGTTTGTGAGATGTAATTTCTCTTCTCAATACCGAATTTCGTCTATATATTTCACAAGTGTATACCCCTGAGAAGCTCTGATTGTATGTAATTCCTTTTTTTTTGTGTGGACCATCGTTGTTAACAGCAATATTTGATGAAGCAGATGATGATAGTAGAAAGCAATATGAGTGTATTATTTATCTTGTGTCTGACGAAAACTGAATGCCTGCATGGTTATATCTTGCCATTTTGTATTGGTCTGGTGGGTGTTCACTCAAAATCGTAATTCAAAAATTGTGTTTGTGAGATGTAGATTCACTTCAATAACGAATTTCATCTATATATTTGTGACAAGTGTATACCACGGAGAAGCTCTAAAGGTATATTACATTTGGTTTGGGTGTGAACCGTCGATGTTTACAGCAATATTTAATGAATAAGATGATGTTAGTAGAAAGAAATATGAGCGTCATGTGGCAAATATTACATAAATGTCGGACTATGAGTTATCTATCTGTATGAAAAGATTTCCAATACAACCATATTGAGTAGGATTTTTACATGCTATACTCGAGTCGTACTAGTATACAGGCTTCTCGTGTCGCCGTTTGACTCAGACACACATCTTTTACTTTAAGATGTATGAAAGATTCTATATATATATTAAATGTAACAATAATGAAACGCCTACAGGCAATAACTAAACGGGTATGAAGTTTTATACAGATTTATTCTTATTTACATAATCATTAACAAACTAAATAAATTGAACAAAGAAACACAGTGACACTACGATATAACAAATGGGATACTTAATTATTTTTAACCATGCTATGCAGAAACTTAACACATCAAGTTAGCGCACGTGAATACCAATTTGGAACACGATGTGTGATTTTGTATAAAAATATCAAAGCGAGCAGTAACTGTCTAGCAAACATTTTTTTACTATGACTCTCTTTATCTCTTTTCCTTTACAATAACTATTACCCTTTTCGTCGATCATTCTCTATGTAGTATAATTTTCTCTAATCGGTTATTTTTTTTTCACTATACCACTCTATCTCCGTTCCTTTACAGTGACTGTTTCCCCTGTCGTTCTAATCCGTATAAAGATAGGGACATTAGACATAGAAGGAGCTCTCTTATCGTCAATAAATAAATATTTGATACTGACTATAATGCTGCATTACTTTATACTGCATGTTTGCCAATCGTCAAAAGCTTGCATTTGCGTGAAGATTTTTTTTTTCAAAAGAAGGGTCCAGAATTATGACAAAACAGTATATATATTTCACAAATTTTTTTAAAGATCATGTTTATAAAATTTTTAAACTTATTATCAGCAAAAATAGTGGGATAATATTATTATCAGAACATCATTCATTAACAGGTGGAATTATAATTTCAAACACGCACAAGATAAATAACGTTGAACACAAATATATGTGGTTCAATAAATGTTACCTGTGCACGTCGGGTACCTCAATTAAGAAGCCATGCATGAACCTGTATAATATATTGTGTAATAGGAATTTTTAGTCGACAGGATGTCACTGGAATAACCAAGGACGTGTATCTAATATACGTCCTTGGGATAACTTACTGAATGTGTCACTCTGACACGACATCTATCAATAATTCTGACATACCTATTATCAATTCGGGATATATATATATATATATATATATATATATAATAAGATAACGTAAATAAAATTTAAAAAGAAAAAAAAAAATATACATTTGTTTCCAAACATACCAGATAGGGTCACACATTTAACTGTAAAGTGTCTTTATAAGTGACTGTTCCGAATTGATCCCGTATCAATTTGATATAGTTAAAAGATTTGTTAAAAAACTTTTTTGAAAAAAAATTGAGATGTCCAATATTTCGATATTTACATTTCTATAACCTGGGAATATTATACTATATCAACATACTTTGTCTTAAATTAGCTAAAACCTCTTCCTAACATTGCTCCCCGTCAATATCCGTTAAATATCATAATTTAAAAAATGTTATTTATCGTATAACTTTATTAATTTAAAAAATTATCTTGACTAAATACGGAACTATTCTTTATATAAACCAATGCACTTTATATAAAAGAGGCATACTAATGAATCTTTTGTAAATCAGTGATTGTTACAAGAACACTGCATTTGTCTTTCTTTTAATTGAAACTTTTCTTCCTCATCAAATATATCTTTCATTGAATTAACGAGATCTTATCATGTAAGGATATAAGGATAAACTATAGCTATCAGAACTGCTAGGTTATTTTGTTATTAAAAAAAGTATAATTACCATCAAATCTCCCTCGAAACAAGATTGTTCAAAATGGTCTTCACACATCAACTTGTGCTTGCTATAGATCATAACTATTTTCTTTTTTGTGGGTTTGGGAAAACTATTTAGACTTTGTCATAACCTTGTCTCACAGAACAACCGTACGCTTGATAAGACATTTTCACAATGGGTGATCATCTACGGTAATCCCCGATTGATGATGGGAGTTTTTAACGCACGGTCGGTAAATCCCTGATTCATTTTGGTCTTTGTGGTTTATAGATATCACGTGACTTTTTAGATCGAACATGCCGACAAGATGGCGATATGTCGAGAACTGATAGTGAATTTCAAAAATCGATTTTGATCTCTTTTCATAGAGAATAAAAGTTTTTTATTTATGAGCATGTGGTTTTTTATGCTTAAAGAACAAAATATCAATTTTTCATTTTTTTGCGGAGTTTCCCTTTAAGAACAATTTTACATAATTTGTTTATCATGTTTTCTAACTTTAAAAAATCTTCTCCTCTGAAACCACTGAACCAATTCCAACCAAACTTAAGCTGAATGATCCTTAGGGTATCAAGAATAAAGATTGTGTTTTATTTTCTGTTTCGTCAAAAAACATGGCCGCCATGGCTAAAAATAGAACATAGGGGTAAAATGCAGTTTTTGGCTTATATCTCAAAAACCAAAGCAGTTAGAGCAAATCTGACATGGGGTTAAAGTTTTTATAAGGTAAAGTTCAATCAGCCCTGAAATTTTCAGATGAATCTAATAACCCATTGTTGGGTTGCTGCCACTAAATTGGTACTTTTAAGGAAATTTTGCAGTTTTTGGTTATTATCTTAAATAGTATTAATGATAAAGATAAACTGTAAACAGCAAATATGTTCAGCAAAGTAAGATCTCAGATAAGTTTCATGACCAAAATTGTCAATTGACCCCTTAAAGAGTTTTTGCCCTTTAAGAACAATTTTACACAATTTCTTTAGCATGTTTTCTAACTTTAAAAAATCTTCTCCTCTGAAACCACTGAACCAATTCCAACCAAACGTAAGCTGAATGATCCTTAGGGTATCTAGAATAAAATTTGTGTTTTATTTTCTGTTTCGTCAAAAAACATGGCCACCATGGCTAAAAATAGAACATAGGGGTAAAATACAGTTTTTGGCTTATATCTAAAAAACCAAAGGAGTTAGAACAAATATGACAGGGGTAAAAGTGTTCATATGGTAAAGTTCTATCAGCCCTGAAATTTTCAGATGAATCTAATAACCCATTGTTGGGTTGCTGCCACTAAATTGGAAATTTTTTAGGAAATTTTGCAGTTTTTGGTTATTATCTTGAATAGTATTAATGATAAAGATAAACTGTAAACAGCAAATATGTTCAGCAAATTAAGATCTACAAATAAGTTTTGTATGACCAAAATTGTCAATTGACCCCTTAAGGAGTATTGCCCTTTGAGGACAATTTTACACAATTTGTTTATCATGTTTTCTAACTTTAAAAAATCTTCTCCTCTAAAACTACTGAACCAATCCCAACCAAACTTAAGCTGAATGATCCGTAGGGTATCAAGAATAAAGATTGTGTTTTATTTTCTGTTTCGTCAAAAAACATGGCCGCCATGGCTAAAATTAGAACATAGGGGTAAAATGCAGCTTTTGGCTAATATATCTCAAACACTTAAGCAATTAGAGCAAATCTGATGAGAGTTTAAAATGTTCAATAGGCCAAGTTCTATCAGCCATGAAATTTTCAGACGAGTCTAACAGTCCATTGTTGGGTTGCTGCAACTAAATTGGTAATTTTAAGGAATTTTGCAGTTTTTGGTTATTATCTTGAATATTATTTATGATTAAGATAAACTGTGAACAGTAAAATGTTGAGCAAAGTAAGATCTACAAATAAGTTAATATGACCAAAATTGTCAAATGTGTCCTTAAGGAGTTATTGCCCTTTAAAGACAATTTTTCACAATTTGTTCATCTAGTTTGCTTACTTTAAAAAATCTTCTCCTTTGAAACTGCTGAATCAATTTCAGCCAAACTTGGGCTGAATGAGTTTCAGATAGAGTATCTAGCATAAATTTTGTATTTTATTTTCTTGTACGTCAAGAAACATAGCCACTATGGCTAATTTTCTTGTACGTCAAGAAACATAGCCACTATGGCTAATTTTCTTGTACATCAAGAAACATAGCCACTATGGCTAAAATGGAACATAGGGGTAAAATGTATTTCTTTGCTTTTGAAGAAAATATGACAGATACAAAGAACATCTCAATGGAATTTTTAAGCCACTCATTAATATATATTAAAAAGCAAAAATAATCATTGATGAAAGATTTAAGCAAAAAATTACAGGTGAGCGATTCAGGCTCTTGAGAGCCTCTTGTTTATCAAGAAGTAAATAGTTGATAATAAATGATTTTAATATGAATATGCATGTATATTTGTATTAAAACAAATTTAACAGAGTTGACCTTTATTCTGAACTTTATTTAAATCCTGACTTGAACCTTGACAGAATTTTACAGCTATGTTCTTTCTTTTTTAGTTGGACCTGTTAGAGATGGGTTTCAAGAGGATATTTTTCCATTACTTCCTGTGGATTAATACATACAATCACTACCTAGTGGTTGGTAGTAACAAGAGGTCCAGGAAAATAGATAGGTCTACAGTAAGTGCAGCTGTAATCAGATTAGGGCCTACAAACCAATAGAATGGCAACTTTCACTTTTCCTATACTTTTTGGATGTCCCACTGCTGATTTTATTACATCACAGTAAGAGTAGACTGGGCCTTGAGGTCATTTATACAGAATGACCTTGGGTCAACCTGCCTAACAAATTCATAAAAAAAATATTTTGGAATTGGTCTATATTATTAAGTCTTGATTGTTAAATATTGTTATCAGAAAAGGTATTGCCCACATACATGCACTCTAATAAGTACAAGATCCTGAAAATATCAAATACTGATGGACCTACTGAGCCAGTAATGGTTACAGGAAAAGGTATGATAAAGACTTTTTTGGGGCTGTTTAAATTGGAAATTTAAAGTATGATCTATCTATCAAATAAAATTCTCCAGATGTTATTCAGACTAACTCTGCTAGATATAAGTTGTTATATTGTTGAATTTTGCCTGACATCATTGCTTAATGAGTTCAAACTTTTTTATTTGATTGCTCAATTGCAATAAATGCCAAAAAAACTCATTTTGAGAGCTTGTCATATAATAAATTTGGCCAAACCCTTGCCAAAAATTTTTTTCCAGATTACATATGGTAACTTTCAAATATTAAAATACAGATATCTGATATGCCTTTATCTGAGGGACATCTAGACAATCTTATTTAAATATTATTAAATTCAAATGTAAAAAAATGGCATAATCATTTTTCTCTAATTCTTCGTCAATTTATCCCTTTCTGCACCCATTGTATAAAAAAAATTTAATCAACGTGTGGTTCGTTTGATCTCAGTTCTTCATTGGTTAAAATCCGATTATGACGTCGAATTTTCTTGCTTTCCTCTGAATTTCCTATTGTGACGGCATGAAAAAAGGCGACCATGCCTGATGACGTCACATAGAAAGAACACATCTTTTTGCAGATCATTCGAAAAGAAGGAATAAATTTGCCTGCGTATTGTTTGAAAATCATTAGAGAAACAGATTCCACCACCAAATCTCGTGTAATACGATATTTATCCACTCTCGACAGTTAAATTTTAAATATTAAAATGCTCGGCTATCCTCACGTTTTAAATTTGAAAATTTAACTGTCTCGAGTGGATAAATATCGTATCACACTCGACACAGTGGTAGAATCTATATCAATCTGGAGCTATGCCTTTTATTAGTGCACAAAATACCCCAGCTGTTGGTTTCTAGATCACAAATATTAAATTCTAATATCTTTCATAAAAATTCATACCAAGGATGGTTCCTGTGCAGTTATTTGATGCAGGAACTAATCAAAAACAAAATAGTTTATTGTCTAAACATAAGTCCAAACTCATTTTCTTCCAGTGAGGGCCTAATGTTCAGCTAACTTTTTCACAGAAATCTAAAATTTCCATTTTGATGAGATGATAACAAATTTAAAATAAAAGTGTTTTACGATCCATGATGACATTATAAATGTAGTTGTGACCTCATGGATTGATTGATTGATTATTGGTGTTTTAACACCACTTTTAAGCTCCACTTTTGGGCTTTTTCGTGGCAACCAGTTTTTATTGGTGGAGGAAGCCGGAGTGCCCAGAGAAAACCATGACCTTCGACAGGAAAACTGACAATCCTAGTCAATTAAGATTGGAGTCGAGTGCACCCGCACGAGCGGGGTTCGAACTCATAACCTCAGTATTGACTGGCTAGTGATTACAGTAGTAGACTACTTAGACCACTTGACCACCAAGGCCCCGATGACTTCATGGAAAAAACCCTTATATTCCTTTTTTGTTAATTTTCAATAAGTTTTTGGACCTGCAAATAAAGAACACATGCAAGTACTAACTTAATAATTCACCACAATGTTTGTCTATATTAATAGCATTTCTCATGTAAATGTTTATTATATGATATTTGTATGTGCTAATTATTTCCAACTCATAGATATAAATATGAATAGAAATATATACGCAATTGTTGTAATTTTGCTTAGAAAATCAAATTTATGGAATCTTTCTATGGCTAATTAAATCATTATAATATTTCAAATGCCTTATGTTTTAAACTTTGCTCATACATATCAATTATCTTTATGCAAAAATTATCTCTTTTGATGTTATATATATATATGTTTCACTTTTTTAGGCCAAAAAAGCACACCTTCTCCTTTGAGATTTCCTGTTTCTCAAACAAAAATATTTCATGTTAAATACTGTAATATGTACCAACAGTATTTTAAGTTTTATTAACATATTTAATTCAGAAAAATAATTCCTTCTTACATTTATTGAATACTTGCTGTTTCTTATTTTCTTTAGACTCTGCCAGCAAAGATACTCAAAGATGAGAAATCAGTGAAAAGTTTAAGTTCAAAGTTTCACATAACTGGTACCTCAAATGTTATTAAATGTGAAGGTCATAGCCAATCTAGCATTTCTCATGCAGATCTCAATGACTTTGATTCCTCAGCTTTCAAAAGTTATGCGAAGTTCATGCACAAATTTGAATTCCAAGATAACGGAATTGAAGCCTTGCCTGATAATTTCTTCAAGATGTTTAAAAATTTGAACGAGCTGAATCTATCACAGAACAAACTTACATCACTACCAGAAGGATTTTCTTGCCTCACCGGGTTGGAGAGCTTAGATGTTAGTAGCAACAACTTATCTAAACTTCCAAACGATTTATCTTCTGTCAAAGAAACGTTGGAAAATTTGAACATAAGTTTTAATCCATTGGGTGGTATTCCAGCAGAAGTCTACTCTTTGACCAACTTACAAGTTTTAGAGGCTAATAACCTTGGTAAAATCAATTTGAGAGGAATTGGAAAGTTAACGTCACTTGAGAAACTCTATGCTGCATCCAATATAGTGGAAGAAGTACCAGAAGAACTATGTTCCCTGCCTCTCACTCACCTTGACCTTTCTGGAATACCATGGTTTCCAGATTTCCTAGAGCAGAAAATACAGCCAAATAAGAGCACATTCATCACAGCCCTTAACAATGTAACAGTGTTTAAGATGATGACGGAAGAGGTTAGTTATTTATCTGTTTTGATCCTCATAAGTCCTGGTTCTGACAATTTTATAAGATTGATGATTATTGTTTACTAAACTGAGTTTTCAAATACTAAATAACCTCCCTTTTTCCAATCAGTGGAATTATTTCTTAATGAATAGCATGTAGAAGAATATACAATAAAGTCAGTTCAGAAATAGTACTTAGCTCTATAATATAGACATCACACAGCTTCACATTACTTAATAGTAATAGTTTCATTTGGCAATGACATTGCCTTTCCAATTCAACTTATGATTTTTATAACCACTTTTGTATTTGCTTACTTTTTGTCAGATTTACAAGTGTTTATATCCTTATTTATAAAGCAGATTCATTATTATTCCTTGGATACCAATTTTCATTGATTTCTTGGTTATAGGTGAGCTACTAATTTGAATGTTCAACGAAGTACAATTTTTCGTTAGGCTTGTAAGCAGACTTAAGGAAAAACAATGACATCAAGTATCCACAAAAATATAATTTTCCCACAATCCACAAAAATACCCATGAAAATAAATGAATATACAGTATACAAAAATAGTTGCAGTGTTAAAATAAAAGATGAGGAGCATTTAAGATCCTGAAGAAATTAATTTTGTATTTTGAGAATTAACATTATTGCTGTTGTGATAATTTAAGGAAAAGAAAGCTTTATTTGTGGAGGTGGACAAAGATGCCAATGGGATTCTTGATAAAGATGAGATTACATTGGTTAACAAGATCATCTTTGAGATGTACCCTAGGTTTGGAAAGAAAGGACAATACTATCCTGGTATGTAAAAAGATCTTCTTTGAGATCTTCACTATGTTTGGTCTGTCAAAAAATTCTCTAAAGTTATTACAAAGTTATTTAGAAAACAGAAAACATGCAGCGTAATGAAATTGGAAGTTCTTACAGTTAATGGGATGGTATGTATAAAGGTGTACCACAAGGGTCAATTCTTGGTCCAGTTCTTTTCAATGTCTTTATAAATGGCATATTTCATTTTGTTCAAAATGGCACCATTTATAATTATCTGATGATAATAAAATTGAGAATGGAAATGGGGAATGTGTCAAAGAGACAACAACCCGACCATAGAACAGACAACAGCAGAAGGTCACCAACAGGTCTTCAATGCAGCGAGAAATTCCCGCACCCGGAGGCGTCCTTCAGCTGGCCCCTAAACAAATATATATACTAGTTCAGTGATAATGAACGCCATACTAAACTCCAAATTGTACACAAGAAACTAAAATTAAAAATAATACAAGACTAACAAAGGCTAGAGGCTCCTGACTTGGGACAGGCGCAAAAATGTGGCGGGGTTAAACATGTTTATGAGATCTCAACCCTCCCCCTATACCTCTAGCCAATGTAGAAAAGTAAACGCATAACAATACGCACATTAAAATTCAGTTCAAGAGAAGTCCGAGTCTGATGTCAGAAGATGTAACCAAAGAAAATAAACAAAATGACAATAATACATAAATAACAACAGACTACTAGCAGTTAACTGACATGCCAGCTCCAGACTTCAATTAAACTGATTGAAAGATTATGTCTTCATCATATGAATATCAGGCACAATCCTTCCCGTTAGGGGTTTAGTATCATACCATCATAACATATATGAGAAGAACATAACCCGTGTCATGCCAACAACTGGTTTTTAAATAAATGTGTTTAGTGCCGATGCAAAGACCCTATAAGTGAATCAATATTAACGCCAAAATATGCAATCTTTAATGACCTGACAACAGTATCGTAACTATATCCCTTCTTAATAAGTCTATTTAAAGGTTTTGTTAGCTTCAGAGGTGAATACTGACATTTTTGTGCTTTACAAAGAATATTTCCATAAAAAATTGGATGTGAAATACCTGAACGTATAAGAAGTCTGCATGTTGAGCTATATTTACGAATGATGTCCTTATACCGATGATAAAATTTAGTAAATGTTTTGACTAGTTTGTGATATCGAAAACCCTGGTGTAATAATTTTTCAGTAATACATAAATTTCTCTCGTTAAAATCTAAAACATTGTTACATACACGAGCGAATCGTACAAGTTGAGATATATAAACACTGTAAGATGGTGACAAGGGAACGTCACCATCTAAAAATGGATAATTAACGATAGGAAATGAAAAATCATCTCTTTTATCATATATTTTAGTATTAAGCTTTCCATTAATGATATAGATATCAAGATCGAGGAAAGGGCAGTGGTCATTGTTAGTATTAGCTTTATTTAAAGTAAGTTCAACAGGATAAATTTCTTTAGTATACATACAGAAGTCGTCATTATTGAGAGCCAAAATATCATCCAAATATCTAAAAGTATTATTAAATTTGTGTATCAGATGTTGTTTCGATGGGTCTTTGCTGATTTTTGTCATAAATTGTAACTCATAGCAATACAAAAAAAGGTCCGCAATAAGTGGTGCACAGTTAGTCCCTATTGGAATTCCGATAACCTGACGATATACGGAATCTCCAAAGCGAACAAAAATGTTATCTAGTAAAAATTCAAGGGCATATATAGTATCAAAGCATGTCCAATTGACATAGTTTTTTTGTTTATTACTACTAAAAAATGACCTAAAAGAGTTTGAACATATATATTCACATTCTGACTTTTTAAATGCCCATTTAATTAGGTGTGTGAATTTTTTCTTAATGAGAATGTGATATGTGGTATATAGGGTAGAAAAATCAAAACTTTGAACAGATTCAAAATCACCAATATATGCATGTAATTTATCAAGTACTTCCAACGAGTTCTTGACACTCCAAAAGTAATTAATTCCACTATTTTCGAAGGCCTTATTTGAACAATTTATTATCAGGTTTTTGATTGTACCAAGTGTACTGGTAAGAAGAATAGACAATTTAGTAGTGGAACAATGGCTTGAAGACGAAATAAATCTATATTTGTAAGGTGTTTTGTGTAGCTTCGGAAGCCAATACATAGTTGGGACTTTCATTGTATTTGGTTCTGCTTGTAAAGCGGTAGCTAAAAGTTTATGTTTGTTACAGATGTCGTTTTCTGAAAATGGAGTGAGTTGGAATGTTGGTGAATTGGTGATTTCTTTTTTCAGAACCTCAATGTAAAATTTACGTCAAACAATATTAATATTATTAGCAGCTTTATCGGCCGGGACAAAAACAAATTCCTTGCCTAGTTCTTTTAGTTTATGTTTGATATGAGAAATAGGTTTATTGTGGTTATTGTTAAGAGTAAAATGTTCTTTAAAATGTTGAATACGTATATCAACTATGTTCATTACTGAATTAAAAAAAGAGTCCAAAGATTTTTTGTCAGCTTTTTCCCGTTTTATCCATTTCAAACAGTAAGTATGGAGTGAGTCGTGGATGAAATTACGACACTCATTCCAATTAATAATTGACGGGGGACGATATTTAGGTCCTTTACTGAGGAATGATTTTAACTCTCGGTCTTGAACGATGTTAAGATCTCCTGTTATAACATGGGAAATGGGTCCATAAATGTATTCGGAATTACTGCAATTACATGAAGTAGGTGTATTTTCACTGATATTAACATCTTTACACAATTGGCTATAATTAAACACAAATTTCCGGGTAGATTTCTTGTAAATATAACAAATAAGAGGGAGCTCAGTATTATCAAAATATCCCAGAAATTTGTTCTTTAACAGAATAGTCGTTAAAAATACCGGCAATATTTACAAAATCAAAACCTTTATTGACATACTTTATTTTAATAAACTGTTTTTTATGATCTTCAGGGCGATCAATTTTGGGAAACAGTTTAGAATAACAATATGCCATTATAATTTGAACGATTTCATACTTAGGACTGCTATATGAAATTGTGTTGCAATCCTCTAAAATTTTATTTAACTTATTAACCGGTAATGAACAGAGCTTTGTTAACAGATAATGTCTGCCATTGTTTTTTGAAATAGAAATTAGGTCCGAAATATTGGTATGATTGGTCCGAAATTTTCTTTGATTGCGATTTTTTCTACGACCATGAGAACGGTTTTTACGAACAGTTTTAGAAACTATATCCAAAATGTTAACAGAATTGGTTCTTGATATATTACCAATTCCCATGATATTATCATTAAGAACACTGTATCATATAGTGATTATGATATGGATAAAGTTTTTCAAAGTTTAGAAACTGATAGTTTAAATCTGATAAACTGGTTTTAAATAAATTTAGTGACGGCTTATCCTGACAAATTCCAGGCTAAAGCCATTGGAAAAAAAACAAATAAACATAATTGGACATTCAATTTAAATGGAATCAAAATTTCTTGTGCAGAAAATGTTAAACTTCTTGGAATAACTATAGATTCGGACTTAAATTTTAACAATCATATATCTGAAATATGTAAAAAGGCATCAAGACAATATCTATTCTAAAATGAATGGGTAAATATTTAAACAGGCTAGGTAGTTTAACAGCATACTACTCATTCATTCTTTCGTATTTTAACTATTGTCCAGTAATTTGGCACTACTGCAGCGAAAACAATTCTCTTAAAATAGAAAAAAATCAAGAAAGAGCTCTTAGATTCATCTATGAAGATTATGATAGTTCATACGAAAAACTGCTAGAAAAGTTAAAATTACCTTCTTTAAAAATTAGAAGAATAAAAACTATTGCAACAGAAACTTTTAAAATAATTCACAAAAAAAGTCCAAGCTATCCTCTTGATTTAATTGATATTAAAATTCAGAAGTATTATTTAAGATCACAGGAAACAGGAGTACTCCCGAGAGTCAGAACCACAAGGTATGGTTTAAGATTGTTTCGCTTTAATGCTGCACAAATCTGGAATGAGCTGCCTTAAGCCATTGTCGAATGGAAACATCTTTTGACCAATTTAAAAAATTAATACAAACATGGGATCCAAATAACAGCTCATGCCAGTGCAGTGCATGCATATAGTGTTTTTATGCATGTTCTTTTTTATTTGTTTTTATTTTTTGTTTGGCTGGCTGCTTATTTTGTAATTTAAAACATGTATTTATTTGTTTATTCAGGTTGCACTATAATAAATTCTTCTTCTTCTTCTTCTTCTTCTTCTTCTATATTTGATTTCTATTTTTTAGGAATCTGTTAACCAATCACAACATTTGGTGTACACATTTGTAAAAATTACCCAGAATGCTTTAGATTCTGTAATAGCAAATAACTCTTTGATATATTCATTCATTTGGCTAAAAGGGTCTTAAAAACTAAGGGTATTTCATATTTAAAACATTATGTTTACATAACAGTTTTCTCTTACTGTACCACTCTACTGCACTGTTTATAAGTCATTTAAAAACTTAGAATGTTGACTCCTAATAAAAATTGATGTGACAACAATAAGATTTTAGGCATAAATACTACCAATGCTTTCAATAACAACCAATTTACACAAAATAGACAATATGTCAAAACATATTGCAAAATATGTAAACACTATCATAAGTTTCAGGTTATGTTGTGAATATGTTCAACAGAGACTTATCAAAGTTTGTGATTTGGTAAATTGATAACAATTATTGTAGTTAATATTCAGTCCTATTATGTTTTTTCTTTTATCTTTTTTTGATTTGCTTATTTGTTGTTTATTTGTTTAGATTTCCCCCATTAAATGAATAGTATATATATTACTGTAAACATTATGATATTATCTTTAAGGGCATACGATACAGTAGAGATCCCTCGTTGATTTTTTCTTGAAATTTTGGCAGAAGGTCAATTTCGATGTGTACTTTTGAAATATGCAAAGAAAAATATACCTTCATGACTTACTTTTTGAGATAATTTGGTTCGAAATTTGCATATTTGAAGGAAAAACCCTGAAATTTTTAAAATCAGGACTTTTAAGGAAAGTACCAATACTTTTGAAAGAACAGTCATAATCTAACCGGGTTTTTTGTAAAATGTTCCCTTGATCCATGGCATCAGCATGCTGTAACAAGTTAACGGTTCAAATAAATAATTATATCCTAAATTCTTTTAATACAAGTGAAATAAAGAAGATGAAAATATTTTTGCGTCTACACAGAAGTGCAGAAAAAATTCTATCGTTGATTTTTTCGTAAAATTTTGGCGGATTGCTCTTGAAACAGAACTTGATTGATTGCAAAAGAAAAAACTGGGGGTCCATGTGCTTGTTTTTTCAATAAAAGCAATAAACCTTAATTTTTATTGGCAAACGGGACGTTTGCCAATAAGGCGCCAAACTACATTGGAATAAGTTTTATTCGCAACAACATCGTGAAAATTAATAAAGCTGGCTCCTCGTAAATAGCAGCATATTTGCCAAACCTTTATGACTTGTTAAGAAACTTGGATAGAAAAAGTATTCTAGAAAATTACTTTTAGAAAAGAAATGTTCGGAAACAAAACAGATATATATAATAAAAAAATTAATTTGCATCTCTGCATGTCCGACATTAGTCATACAATTCATGTAGACAACACAGCTCGAACATAGTTTTAATTATTCAAAAGGCCCCGTCATGACAAAATGTGCAACAATTATAAAGTAAGGGGGATGATATAAAAATAAGGACATTTGGTATGAATGCAAAAGAGACAACTATCAACCATAGTTCAAATGACGAAGATAAATGCTAATAAAGGTAACCCTACGGCCTTCAACACAAAAAAAAAAAAAAAAAGAAAAAGAAAAAAGCCACATCGTATAGTTAGCTTTAAAAAGCCCCTACATGAAAATGTGAAATAATTCAAACAAGAAAACTAACGACCTACTCTATAGGCATTACATGAACACAAAATCATACCCACATTAAATCGGGTCAGCTTAGTCCATTACAGTGTAGTATAACATTTCATACAGCAGTCGATATAAGAGCATGAAATTTAATGATTCTGTATCAATAGATAAGTTACCTAAGCTTGTCTTCAGGGTATTTTTTTTTATTACGGTACATATAATCATTGAATTACTTGTCTGTATAATATTATACCTTCAATCTAGGAGTGAGTGCAACCACATTGTTTGTCTGGTCCAACAAATATTTTGTTTCTTATCTGAGAAACTTCTTTACAAAAAGACTTTGTATTGTTCAGTAACTTAACATCAATGAGTTGCAACTCTGGTCTGTCAAATACCTAATTCCTGTGTGCCGATTTTTCTCTCTTAATATAATGTACATACAGGATATTCTTAGCACATCAACGGGTGCGTTTTTGTTTTTGGGCTATAATACGGGGCTTATAACTGTGTCATTTTAACTGACAGTTCTTCTTCATACACATATATATTCCACGGGTTAAATTCTAAAAATGTCGTTAAACTCTTCATTGTACCTTTTCAAAGTCAGGAACAGTAAGATGCCCTGTCATTATTTATTACGTTTTTTTGTGAGCCAAATGGTGAAGTTACTATATAAATTACTTATAGTTTTGGTTTTTAAAGGCAGTGCTTTAATGCCTTTCTAGTTGCCGGGTTAATCCTTCCTTCCGCGATATCCAACTTATCTACGTGGGGGGTCATTAGGCTCCAAGTAGATCCGGAAATGTTGAATTCTCTCCTCTTCTTATTGTGATATAAAATGTTTTTTGTTTCATTTCATTTACATTGGGAAATAGAGAAACGATCATTGTGTTTTGTTAGTTTTAAAAACTTTTGATATATTTGTATTTTGCATTATAAGCAGTCAACCGATTGACAAACTAGAATTATTTGAATTCCGTGTGGAAAGAGCTCGGGTTAATTTCGAGTGTTATCTGCAATCTATATGTTTATAAATCATTTCAGTCGTTGATATAATAATTAAGAGTCGACTGAACATTAATTATATTATACAATTTAAAGCGCATTTCTGTTTATGCACGTGAACCCGTCTAACGTTATTGTTATTTCGCAGTTATATAAAGTAGCAAATTATCGTTCCTGAATAGGTGGCGCCGTGGTAGCCGATCCTGTTCCTCAATTTCCGGTTTCTGCACTGTGCAACTATTTCAGTTACATTTTAAATTAACGATGCCAAGTACTTGTTGTTGTGTACCTGGATGTCATTTAAGAGGAGGACATGCATTTCCAAATGACTTAAAAAGAAGGAAAAGTTGGATCAACGCCATGGCCCAAACGCAGCTTAGACGAGAACACGATTTCATCGTGGAGTCCATCTCAATCAGCTGTTGTTTGCAAGGCACATTTTACTGAAAAAGACTACGTGCAGGAAACTATTCATGGTAAAACTCTATTTTCTTTTTGAAATATATAGTTATATATGTAATCGCCATGCGAATAAACCAAAGTCTGTTTACAACCGCAATTATCGTTTTAGAATAAAAGGGGGTGGTTAATTCAAGACGTCATCATTTTTTGGATTACGATTCAATGTGATCTGTTTGAGATTTTTTGGTGATTGCTACAGTTATAATGATTTCTTACAAGAGGTATATCATACTGAGAATTATTTTAGGATCTCCTGTAGTTGGTGATCGCAATACTGGTATACCAGTATTGTCCACAATACTGCCATTACTGGTATAAAAATTTTGTACCAGTATTGTAACTTTTTTAAAAAAAATCAGCAATACTGGTACATTACTGATATACCAGTATTGTAGTTGTATTGTTCACTATACTTTAAGGTGTATAATGAAAAATGAATTTTAAGTAAAATTAGATATATTGAAGATCAAAGGGAGATTAAATGAACTCAGAAAGATTATAGAGGATAATTGTGAAATCAATTAACAACCAGTTAAAAATAATTACTTATACTTGTACAAATAAACAAAAGATTATTGTAATTAACTCATCTTATTCAAACAATTGTTAATTATATAAAAAAATTGCTAATAATTCATATTTCTATATTTTATTTAATTTAATTTAGATAAAATAAAATAAAAGCTTTATTATCTGAGTTATTATTTAATAAATTCAAGCTAATTATTACACTTTAACACTGTAAATTCAACATTTACATGAATGCCATTGTATATTTTTTACAGATATTTTAATACATGTATACTAAGATTCTAAGCATTTGTTTGTCTTTATTTTCTTATCAATCTTTCACAATAAACATGATAAAAGATATCAATATCCATTAAACATAAAATATGCTTAATAGGGGAACCTGATTATAACCAAATTAACTAGTTTGTCTACATGAATGTTAAGGGTAGTTAAAGCAGTTGATTCAGAACCATGGGCAATACAATTTGTAGCAGATATATCTAATGGTACAAATACTCAAATACTAATACTAGACAAGCACTCCTACAGTAAGAGAGCCATACAGGTGCTATCTAAACAAGCTTGTAATCTAGTAAGCGTAAGAGAAAGTCCACAGACTGAATACATAAATATCAATATAGGAAGTGGGGGTTGCAGAAATGCCATCTGAAGAAAAAATAAACAATACCACTAAGTAACCAATGCTGATGATACAGAAGCTATAACAGCATTAATGTCAATATAAAATTCACTAAAATATACTATTGAGACTTGGAAAGAGAGAGCTGGAAGAAAACATAGAAGAAAGTAAAGAGTTTGTTAAAATGCTTAAGAAAAAAACATCAGAAGATTTAAAACTTTCTTTGATTACCATCACAGTGTACCATCAATGGCATCATCAATTAAACATACAATTCAATCATTCCATATAAAATTGTCATGTCATATGTTAATATCATTATGCATATATCATGTATATATGTGACACCTTTAATAGAAGATTAATTACCTATATGTATTGTTTATTTTACAATACTGGTACAATACTGGAATACAATACTGGTACAAAATTTTTATACCAGTATTGTGCACAATACTAGTATACCAGTATTGCGATCACCAACTACAGGAGATCCTTATTTTAGCAGTAATTATGCTAATGTAGTAATGACAGGAATGCATAAGCTATGCCTCATAGACTTTCTTGAAAAATATCAATGAAAATGTTAACAGGAAACAAAACAATGACATGCTCTCATCAATATTATAGTTATTTAGGTACAAACAATGTACGTTTGTTGCATAAGTCTGTCATTGTTTGTCCTTTGGATTTACATAACATACATTGAATCAGGAAAACATAGTTTTATCCAGATTGTAATGAATAAATCTAGTTAATATTTCGCCAGGTAATACAAAGGAATTATAGTTATCTCGTACCATTGTCAACTCGTACCAATGTCAACTCGTACCACTAAAAAAATACTCGTACCAATGCAAACTCGTACCACTGCTAACTCGTACCACGGTAAATTCATACCATTGTAAACTCGTACCAACTTATTTAAATGCATTCAAATGGTGTTTAATGATGAATATATACTTAAATTTCACTCAATACCTCTTAAGTCTGTAAAATGTATATAATTTGTAATTACAATGACCAATTTGTAGCTAATTTTCCTTTCCTTGTCTAATTGGATAGAGAAAACCGTGGCAGAATGGCTCTGTTGTCTCCCTTGAATAGACTCTTTTTTAAACTTTTACTGACAACTATTTGATTTAATTTTATAATCATTCCAAATCAGTAACATTGAATAGATTTGGGTATTTTTCTATTGTTTCTAAAAGGAATTTTATTTAATGAAAGAATTTATTTCTTGTGTTTTAAAGGTTTAAAATTGTTTATGACCAACAGTTAGAAAGTATGAAATTTATTTTTATACAATATTCAGCACATTTTAGCAGAATACCGACCGTGCAAGGGCTGTATAGCCAGTCAAGGTCGTTAAAAACTTCCATTTGTTGTTAGCAGAATATGACCATGCTAAAATGATTAAACAAGTTAATTAGTTAATAATCAACCAATAATCACACAATCAAAGGAATTAAGTAATTACATTCGTATTTTTGTCTAAGTTTTCATTAAAATCTGGTATAAAATTCGGATATTTTATTTTTTTGTATAAAGCTTAAACAAAAATAATCATAAAACGCTGATTCGTATTTTTGTCTAAGTTTTCATTATTAACAATCTAGTATAAAATTCAAGTAATTCAACTTTTTTTATTTAGTTTACCCAAAAAAAAATCATAAAACATTCGTATTTTTGAATATACTTTTAATGGTACGAGTTTGCAGTGGTACGAGTTCTGATTGGTACGACTTCCCAGTGGTACGAGTTTACGTTGGTACGAGTTAACTTTTTTGGTACGAGTTTACGTGGTACGAGTTTACAATGGTACGAGTTAACTTGCTTCCATACAAAGTATACATTGCTAATGGAAGTTCATTTAATTATCAAAAAACTAATGTTTTATAACCTTTTTCAGGTCGCAAACCCACCATACAGAGACTTTAAAGTCTACTGCCATTCCCAGCCTATTTTCCTGGACCAAGCAAGAGACTGAATCGTCCGCAAAAAGAAAAATCAGGGCAGTTTCCTGTGAAAACAAAAAAACTAAACTTGATGAATATTGTAGTAGAAATCTAGAGGAAAGTTTTGATTGTAAAGTTGGTTTTCCTGAAGAAGTCATTCATACTGCAGAAAGGATTTATGACTGTCCACCACCAACTGCTGAGCTAATGTTGAGCTTCAAAGATGGAATTACGCAAACACCATCAATGTCTATGTTTTCAGCAGAGAATTTTGAAATGAAGACACGTGACACAGCCATGCATTTTTATACCAGTTTAGAGTTGTATACTAAATTTTTATTTGTTTTGACCACACTTGGTCCAACAGCACATTGTTTGGGATACATATATTTTCAAATTGATAGGGTGTCAGTTGAAAATCAGTTTTTTTATGACTTTGATGAAATTGAGGCATTATACAACCAACTTTGAACTTTCTAGATTCTAGATTGAATCTAGTGTTAAGAATATTGTGTATACATGGATTGTTTTTATGCCTAAACAGTGGTGTGAGGCTAACACTTGGCCATCTAGTGGTTTAGTCAGGCATTTTTCGCCATCCAACTTCAAATTAAAGTTTCCTACGACTTGGATTATTATTGACAGCACAGAATATCCCGTGATAAAACTAAAGCTCCTAGAGCTCAGGCAACCTTTTCATCATATAAAAACAGAAACACTGAAAATACTTGTATGTTCGACGCCTGGTGGTTTAGTCAACTATGTCTCTAATGCATATGTTGGTTCTACCAGTGACTATGAAATAGTTGAAAGATGTAGAATACAAAATGTAGTTCAATTATGTGATCCAGCCATCCAGGTGACAGTGTGATGGCAGACAAAGGTTTAAATGTGCAAGATTTGTTTGCTAACTTTTTTCAAAAAAAGAAACAGAATTAATTCCAAAACTCTTATACAGGATAGAAAAGTCTCCAATTAACATGTACACATAGAGCGAATTATTGGACTTGGCAAAACATACAAAATTCTAACAAATCCTATGAATGGAACTGAAACAAAACTTTCATCTGAAATAACATTTAGTTGTTTTATGTTGTGTAATTTTAGAACTTGTATTGTGCCAAAGGATGCAGAAATAAAAGTGACGCAATGAATTTTGTTCTGATATATATATATTTATAATTACATGCACATGTAAATTGTAATGCATATAAAAATAAGGAGATGTGGTATGATATTCAGTGAGTTTATCGAACTAAAGTGCATAAGAAATGGGTTTAAGCAGTTACAGGTGTTACTGTCACCGTACAATCTCCAACAATGAGAAAAACTTGTACCGTGTAAAAAATTTCAGAGATCTTACCACTCAGTTTTGTTGTCTCACCTTGACTTTGGTGAATTGTTTATATCTGTTGATGTAAATATAAAAAAGAAGATGTGGTATGATTGCCAATGAGATAACTCTCCACAAGAGACCAAATGGCACAGAAATTAACAGTTATAGGTCACAGTATGGCCTTCAACAATGAGCAAAGCCCATACCGCACAGTCAGCTCTAAAAGGCCCCGAAATGACAATGTAAAACAATTCAAACAAGAAAACTAACGGCCTAATTTATGTACAAAAAATGCAACACATAAACAAACGACAACCACTGAATTACGAGCTCCTGACTTGGGACAGGCACATACATGTACATACAGAATGTGTCGAGGTTAAACATGTTAGCGGGATCCCAACCTTCCCCCTAACCTGGGACAGTGGTGTAACAGTACAATATAAGAACGAACTATAAAAATCAGTTGAAAGAGGCTTAACTCATCAGATGGATAAATACAAATACAAGTGGACGTGGTCGGGTAGTTGTACATCCAAACAACAAAAAGACACTAAGTACAGATCTGAGAGTACTCGCAGTTACTGACAGCTAGTTCAAAGCCACTAACAACTGATAAAAAAATCTTGCATCTAAGACTAAATTATCAATCCTTAAGCTCCCTTTAGAATTTTATAAATTTTAGATTTTACATTTCTGAGTTATGGGGTTTTATTGGGATTTTCCAGTTTTTGTCGAGCCTGCGACTTTTGTCGCAGAAAGCTCGACATAGGGATAGTGATGTGGCGGCGGCAGCATGAGCATTAGCTAACTTCTTAAAAGCTTTATATTTTAGAAGGTGGAAGACCTGGATGCTTCATAGTTTGTATATGGATGCCTCATGTTACGAAGTTTCCGTCAGCCACATGTCCAATGTCCTTGACCTCATTTTCATGGTTCAGTGACTACTTGAAAAAAAAGTTAACATTTTTTGTAATGTTAAATTCTCTCTTATTATAAGTAGTAGGATAACTATGTTTGGTATGTGCGTACCTTGCAAGGTCCTCATGCCCTTCAGACAGTGTTCACTTGACCTCAACCTCATTTCATGGATCAGTGAACAAGGTTAAGTTTTGGTGGTCAAGTCCATATCTCAGATACTATAAGCAATAGGTCAAGTATATTCGGTGTATGGAAGGACTGTAAGGTGTACATGTCCAACTGGCAGGTGTCATCTGACCTTGACCTCATTTTCATGGTTCAGTGGTTATAGTTAAGTTTTTGTGTTTTGGTCTTTTTTTCTAATACTGTATGCAATAGGTCAACTATATTTGGTGTATGGAAATATTTTATGATCTTTATGTCAGTCGCGCAGGTTTTATTTGACCTTGACCTCATTTTCACAGTTCATTGCTCTGTTAAGTTTTTATACGCCCGTTTACGGGACGTATTATGGTATACCGTTGTACATCTGTCAGTATATCGTCAACATGTCGGACATTAACTCAAAAATGCTTTTACCAATTTGCATAAAACTTTGGTGAATTGTTTATATCTATTGACGTGAGCTCCCTTTCATTTTTTATAAAATTTAGATTTTAAGTTTCCGAGTTATGGGGTTTTATTCATTAAGAAAAGGGGGATTTTCCAGTTTTCGGACAATAAGTCAAGAATGCTTTCACCAACTTGCAAGAAATTGTGGTGAATTGTTTATATCTATTGACATGAGCTCCCTTTTGATTTTTATAAATTTTAGATTTTACGTTTCCGAGTTACAGGGTTTTATTCATAAAAAAAGGGGGGATTTTCCAGTTTTCGGACAAAAACTCTAAAATACTTTCAGCAATTCTTATGAAACTTTGGTGAATTGTTTGTATGTATTGATGTAAGCTCCCTTTAGAATTTTATAAATTTTACATTTTACATATCTGAGTTATGGGGTTTTATTCATTAAAAAAAGGGGTGATTTTCCAGTTTTCAAACAATAACTCAAATATGCTGTCACCAATTCTCATGAAACTTTGGTGAATTGTTTATATCTGTTGTTGTAAGCTCCCTTTTTATTTTCATAAATTTCTAATATGACATTGAGAATTAATTGAACTTTATTTGTTTATAGTCTGACAACAGGTTTACTAAGTATTGCACAACAGCAAGAAATCTTTAATTGCATATTCAATTCATATAACCAATTTCAAGATCTTTGACTACATTTATTCAGAAACCTATAATATGTCAAATATTTAATTACAATCCAAATTCAGACCTGAATCAAGCTTGAATATAGTGTCCATTTTTGCCCCAACTGTTCAGGGTTGGACCTCTGCGGGCGTATCTAGTTTTGTTTTGGTCTGTTTTTCTTAAACTATAAGCAATAGGTCAACTATATTTGTTGTATGGAAGAATTGTTAGCTGTACATGCCTGCCTGGCATGGTTCATCTGACCTTGACCTCATTTTCATGGTTCATTGGTCGATGTTTAGTTTTCTTGGTTAATGTTAAGTTTATGTGACAGTTGTAATAAAGCTTTATATTAAGGACTATCAACATAATATCAGTGATTAGTAAAGAAGGCGAGACATTTCAGCGTGTGCACTGTTGTTGGACAACAACTCAAAAATGCTTTAAGCAGTTCGCATGAAATTTTGGTGAATTATTTATAGCTATTGATGTAATCTCCCTATAGATTTTCATAAATTTCAAATATGACATTGAGAAGAAATTGAACTTTATTTGTTTATAGTCTGGCAACAGATTTATTAAGTATTGCGCAACAGCACAGTTTATTGCACAACAGCAAGAAATCTTGAATTGAATATAAATTCATTTCATATAACCGATTTCAAGTTCTTTGACTAAATTTATTCAGAAACTATAATATGTCAAATATTTAATTACAATCCAAATTCAGACCTGTATCAAGCTTGAATATTGTGTCCATTTTTGCCCAAACTGTTCAGGGTTGGACCTCTGCGGGTGTATCCAGCTGCGCTCAGCGAATCAGTTTATTTCTTAATTAAGAACTCCTTTTTTCATTCATAAATTACTTTAAACTTGGAAATATAATTTTGCTTGGAGTTATAGTTTCTAAAAAAGTATTGTCATTGAAAGAGTTGACATGTTGCAATGTACATTTATTCTACATAGTTCTATGGTACCAAATCAAAAGTTTATATAAAAGAAAGAAGTCAAAGGTTTCCCATCACAGTTTAGTTACATACATTTTTTTTGTACCTGAGGTCGTTGAATATAGATCATTATATAAATAAGGAGATGTGTTATGATTGCCAATGAAACAACTATCATCCATACTTACCAGTAACAAACCACATTTGCAGAGTTGAATAAAATACAGTTGATAATATTTACTTATTACTAAAAAGAAAATGCCTAACTATTTTAAACAGTATTTGAATATCAATTATATGGTCATTTTTATAAACTTCCTGTTACAAAACTTTGAATTTTTCGAAAAACTAAGGATTTTCTTATCCAAGGAATAGATTACCTTAGCCGTATTTGGCACAATTTTTTGGAATTTTGGGTCCTCAATGCTCTTCAACTTTGTACTTGTTTGGCTTTATAACTATTTTGATCTGAGCGTCACTGATGAGTCTTATGTAGACGAAACGCGAGTCTGGCGTATTAAATTATAATCCTGGTACCTTTGATAACTAATTTGACTATAAACATAGATAAAAAAGGTACAAACTGGACATAATGCACAAGTTCATAAACAAGTGAGAACAAATGCCTTCATATAGTGCTCAGAATATGACATTCATAAAACTTTTTCAATATCATTAGAGAACTCTAAATCTTAAATACTGAAAGCCACCTCTGATAAGTACACTGTACTATGCAAGATAATGATATAACTGGACTAAAAATACACACAACCTGTAATTAACTGCCTTTACAGCGCTTTCGCGCTTTGATTTTTTGTGTAGTTGGGTTTCTCTCTCATCGAAGTCTTATGTTTTTCATCTCTCTTATTCATTTCCTATATGAAATAACAGACATACAAAGTTAAGAATGTGGATTTGATTTTTTCCCCATTCGAAGTTAATATTGTTGACTTCCTTATTAATAAATAAATATAACAATTCTTGTGATTTGGCCTATTTTCATTGCAGGTACTTTTTTCAAATTCGTGCAATCGGGATTATGACGTCAGTGGATTTTCCGCAAATGTGACTACATCTAAAGCGACGTCGCGAAATGTAATCGTTCTTATTAGAAACATCGCGAAATTACTACGTTCTGATTAACAACGTCGCGAAAACAACACGAAAAGTTTTGAAAACGTTATTATCTGCACCTGCTACTGTATCGTATGCCCTTAAAGTAATTATTAAAATTTCGTTGCTTAATGTTTCATTTTAGAAACTGCAGTACCCTCTGTGATATGGAAACTAAAAAATCTTCAAAGTTTGAGCTTACGGTACCATGCTTTTACTCTGGTTCCTGATCATGTGAAGGAGCTACTGCAATTAGAATCACTTGACATATCCCATAATCCAGATATAGAGAAGTTGTCTGGGGAACTAGGTGGACTTCCGCTACGAGGTAAGGAAAGAGTTCAGTCATATGATAGTTTGAAATCCTCAGTAGTTTTTGCAGAAAACTAAGTCCATATGAATTTTCTTTTCGACCATTGATAATTTCTAACTAAAAATAAACTCATCATAGATACTAGACTTACGCCAGATGCATTTTTCATTTTCTTAAGACTCATCAGTGACGCCTGAATCAAACAAGTTAAAAAGGCCAAATAAAGTATTAAATTGAGGAGCATTGATGACCCCAAATTCCAAAAGTTTTTGCAAGATCCATGCAAAACTTTTTTCAGTTAACAACTTGACAGACGTGTATTTTATAAAGTAATTTTATGATAAAACAATATTATATGTAAAAATATGCATTGCCAACCCTACTTTAAAAGTCACTCCTATTAAAGTGAAAAACATGTCTTGTCTGGCCATTCTCTTCTTATCCCACTTAAGTAACTTCATTGCATTGTAAAGCTCAATTAAAGGTCATCTCTCTTATAAGGGTAGTTTTCTCTCAGGTCTTGAGGGGGACCTTTATGGGCAGGTTTGACCGTAATCTTTTCAATGTAAGACGTACAAATTATTCTTTTATGAACACTTATGTAGATTTCTGATGTTATAAGTAGATGTAAAGTGAAATCAAAGTTTATTTTATAATGAGCAGCTCACATGTTACGAAGTATTCACTTTTGTGACAGGAAGGATAATTGCATTTATTATTTTTTGTAGAATTACATTTGAATGGATGTCCGTCACTGAGAACCCCACCAAAGGAGATTGTCAGTCGTGGATTCAGTGTTGTATATGGTTATCTGAGGAGGCTCCAACAAGGCTCAGTAGAGTGTAAAAGAACAAAATTAATGGTGGTAGGACTGGGAGGTGCTGGGAAAACTAGGTAAGATCATGCATTCTAAAGGAGTTGAAGAACCAAACAATAAATGCATATTAATGGTACCAGTACAGTAATACTTAGTATCAAATGATGTCACTTTTCATGAAACATGATAGTCAACTGCATGCATAGACATTTTGATGAGATATTCTATTCACCTTAATGTCATTTCCCAAATGAATCAAGAAAAACCTTAAGTTAAAGGGAAACTTCGCAAAAAAATAAAAAATTGATATTATGTCCATTCTGTATAAAAAAGCACAAATTCATAAATATTAAAGTTTTATTCTGCTAGATAAGAGATCACCATCGATTTTAAATTTAGAGTATCAATTCTCTGCGTGCGGTCATTTTGACATCTTCTCGGTTTAGAAACCACGATATAACTATAAACCACAAAGGATCAAAACCAGCAGTAACCTAACGTAGTCGCATTTATCCGACTAACTAACTTGCTACGGAAAATGATATTATTTTTTTAAATAACTATGGTCTGTCGTTTTTAAACTGGTTTTTCTTTACGAAGTTTTTGAAACAAGAAATTTATATGGGAATTAGTTAAAAAGTCAAAAGTTCAAAGTCATAAATAAGTGTTCTGTGTAAAATCGTTTTCGAAAATCTAATTTGTTCATAATTCTTTTATGTAATAAACTTAATTAAATAAATTCGGACTTCTCTTATCTGATCACCAGCATGGCTAAAGGAATTATTCCCTGAGGTATTGTGAAGTGACACGTCCAGGTACTCAAGCGATTTCCTGTCGGGCTTAAAAACTCTTATTACACAATTACATAAAGCATGTTCATGCATCGCTTCACTTCTGAGGGTATTGATCAGTGTACACCGCCGATAACTTGTAACTTTCCATTTTGAAACTATCAGGTGTATAATATACATCTCCGATAGTGATATACTAGTCATTACTAAACTCATACGCTTGTTTATAAATAACATTTCTGGTGTAAAGAATGATATTTATGAAAATCTTAATAATTCCAAAAAAAGATTTGATAAAATAAAAATCTATTTACATATTTTTTCCAAGAGTAAATTGGGGAAAATGTAAGTATATACTCGTTGTCAATAATGATGGACATTTTGAAACATGAAAGACTATTGATTTAACAAAAATGTACGCACTTGTCGATCATTGGTTTATACGCCTAGATAGAAAGTTACGGAACTATAGATAGTCGCAATTTAAAATTGTATATTGGATATAAGAAAGAACATCCAGAACCAATTTTATTTAAATACAGGTCGATATCTAACTTGCTTTGGTTCATCGAAGTTATGGACATGGTAAAATCACAGATTTATATTTCAATTAGATTGTTCTCGAACACACACAGTTGAAGAAATTCGTCATCACCTCAATTGTTGGGTATAATGTATATTAATGTGAACATGGTTCTAATAGAACCGTATGCCAATTTTCCTGTTCCGACATGCATGTAATATATATGCCACTGGACGTACGGTGCGTCTAAACACTGCTAAGGAGTCCTTAGTGCACTAAGGACTTATAATATGCCACTAAGGACTAGATGGGGTGCTGTAACATGTAATTTCTTTTCATATTATGGTAGATATTGATATTTAATGCATAAATTTAAAATTTTATAGAAAAATAATCACAAATAAATTAGTAATTATGCATTGTTTAGGCACGTGCCTGTTTTTCTTTGATATGCCGAAAATCAGTGAACCGATTGCCACGTGCCATATAATATAACAACTGAATAAACAATCATAATCTTTTTATTTTAAGTACTTAACAATTGTTTCGAAAAGATTAATGCTTAATATTTTATAATTAAATGTGTTGTTCTTATTTACAATGATTAAAAGGACAAATAATTTTGCTTTTGTTTTATTTCTTTTCCGACAAAGTTATTTGCAATAGGTGCACGACTCTGATGTGCACTAACTAATATTAAGTTAGAGTGTTTAAGATATTGTAAGAAATAATTTATGAAATAATGACTATGTGGTATGTGCTTTGCTCATTGTTTGAAGGCCGTTCGGTGACTTGTAATTAATAAATTTCTGTGGCATTTTGTCTCTTGTGAAGAGTTTTCTCATCGCCAATCATACCACATCTTCCGCCCAATCGGTTCATGCAGAGACATATAATACAAAAAAAATGTAAAAATTTCTTTTCATATAGAATTCGTTTTTGTCCTGAAAGATATTGCTCAAACCAAGGATTTTTATACAAATCCTTGCTCAAACGTGTTATTTATATAATAATAAATTTTGAAAATGAACCATAGCAAACGCAAAAGAAATAAACACTGTGCAAACAGTTCATGTTTTAAATACGTCTGTTTACATGATTATTATTTATTAAATAAGTTTTCAAGAAATATACAATTCCTTGATTCTGAAAAAAAAATTAATAAAATTTAAACAACTTATTCAGTGCGAAATTAAATCAAAATTGATCATTGAAATAATCTGAAACTGAAAAATAATTTATTTATTCGTATCTAACTTTTGGCAATTTTTTAGCGATAAAACTGTAAAATACTTGTTCCAAATTAAGATAACAGTGTAATCAGTTATGTAATTTGACACGTGTCTAACGGTTCATTGATTTTCGGCAATATCAAAGAAAAAACGGCACGTGTCTAAACAATGTTAAATTACTGATTTATTTGTGATTATTTTTCTACAAAATTTGAAATTTATGCATTAAATATCGATCTCTACCATAATATGAAAACAAATTACATGTAACAGCACCCCATCTAGTCCTTAGTGGCATATTATAAGTCCTTAGTGCACTAAGGACTCCTTTGCAGTGTTTAGACGCACCCCTGGACGTAATCTAATGATCCCCAAAAAGTTTATTTGAAGAAATAAAGAAACTTCAATCCGGATAGACTGATAGTAGTTGTATTAACGTCTGATCAGCTTGAGGGTTGATTAATTTATTACGTTAGCTTGTGGGGGAATAAACCATACCCAATATTGCACTTATGCATAAAATATCAAATAAGAGTAATATAAGAGAAAATATAAATACGAAAAGTCGCATATCTGGTAAAAAAAAAAGTCTCACCAACCAGGGACTTTCTATACTAACGTTAGTATAAACTGTCCCTGCACCAACTATAGGATTTCACGTACAATTGTCATTATAATCGAAATAACGGACAGTCTTTAAAATACATGCATGTACGCTTTGATAAAAAGGGGTGCCGCAGTTGCATATTATTCATCATAAATCTATTTCAAGTTTATACTTTCCTGTTATTCTTATCAGTTAACGCAGAGACATGTAACTATACATCTCTAGTTAACGACAATCAACTATATAAATATCTGAATCTGATGTGACTTACCGTTCATCTCTAGTGGTTCATCTCTTTCTTCTTTTTTTTTTTCTTTTTTTTTTTATTTGGGCAGGAACATAAACATTGTTAGATACAATGTTCCCAGGTTTGAGGGGGGTTGGAGGTCAAGTCTATCGAAAGTTACAAAATAAGAACGTTGTATTTATTTATTTACAAGAAGAATTCTGTTCTTGGACGTAGTTTTCTTCTTCTTTTTTTTTAGTTCAGTGATTTAAATTGAGAAAAAATCTAGTCAGAATTTAAATCGTTCCGGCAATCCCCCACCTAAGACTCCTCTAAAATCATGAATGGTAATGCTTCACAATCATCAGAATTTACTTTGCATTGGTACATTCTGTATCGGTAGTGATTAACCTTGACATTTCCGGGTATAACAGAGCTACTTGTATATTACCTGTATGTGGTTAGGTACATCGTCCCATGAGGTCTTACGTATACAGGTTCACATTTATAATGGTTTCTGATATAACAAGGTTTAATGACATTCACACTTCTGCATGTTCTGTATACCAGTTTCTTATCTTATTTTCAGACCGAATGAGGATGTGAAATTTTCCAGGAAAAATATTGAGTATCAAAGTATCAAATTAATTTCGGGATTTTTTTCTTTCTTGTTATTAAATCACAGAAATTTAAAGAATATACTGCTTATAGAAATAAGAAGATGTGGTATGAGTGCAAATGAGACAACTCTCCATCCAAGTCACAATTTATAAAAGTAAACCATTATAGGTCAAAGTACGGTCTTCAACACGGAGCCTTGGCTCACACTGAACAGCAAGCTATAAAGGGCCCCAACAAATTACTAGTGTAAAACCAGGGGTATTCTTGTCAGTTAAGACAGACATATAATTATATGTATATATATGTCTGCGGTATAGACATGGTTTATGAATGAATGATAAGTCTTGTAAAGGTACAAGATATAAAGCACATTGAAAATTGATTCCGCCGGTCTGTCTCCATTCAATAAAGGAAAGTTGACGTTAGATTGAATCTGTTAAATTTTTTTAAACATCGTTGGTCAAATAGCTAAACCATTTGTTGTGAGATGTAGAATATTTTAATAAGGACATTCCCGATTAGGTAAATGTAGATCGCTTTGGACGGACCAAACTATATTAATGTAACTGATATTCTTCTCTGCACATTTAAATATTCAAGGTTACCGATGATAATTCAAAATAGCACAGTTTTTGGTTTATACGCTCGTTTTCGTGGGCCATTTTTATTTATAAAATTATTTCATTGAAAGTTATTCAGAATTCCGATGTTACAACAAAGTACTCACCCATCTATTTAAAAACTGAGCTAACGCAAAATATAAAAAATATATATAACGGCGATTCCGGTATTTTGCCACCATATTCCTCCCCAAATAATTATTTTTTTCTGTCTCAAACCCACATTTCTCTTTTATCATTTTTTTTTATCTTTTTCAAACTGGAAAATAATTTTTGTTCGTAATTATTCGATCTCATTCCAATAAGACAAAGTTGACCTTAAATTTCCTGTCAACTTTTTAAACATCTTTCTTCAAATGGCTGAAGTATTTATACGTTGTGAGATTTAAAATATTTTGAAAAGGACATTAATTCCTGAGTATGTAAATAAAGATCGGCTTTGGACGGACCAGATTATATAAGTGCAATTGGTAATTATCTATTTCAAATATTCAAGGTTACCAATTCTTGTTTAAAATAGTACAATTTTTAGTTCATACACTTGTGTTTAGAATGTCATTATTATTTCATTGTTACAAAAATATTCAGCAGTCATAATTCATTTTAAACTGAGCTTACGGAAAACATAAAAATATACCACGGCTATCCAGTTATTGTGCCAACATATTACTCCCCCAAAATAATTATATTTCTTTTTTTATTTTCTGTTTCAAACTATCACTCCTGTTTATCATTCATACGAAATGATGTTCACACCTGGAACGGTGAACCGTGACGGCTAAATTCACTGTGTGAAGATCAAAAGATTAGAATTACAGAATGCAAACCTTTAAATACCTTGAATTTAACCACGCATTCAACAGGTAGTCACTAAGTGTCACAGTACAATACACATTGTATTAATTTTACACAGTACTAGCGAGAAATGTTTGCTAGACTGAAGTAAAAGGTGAGAATACTAACATGCATTTTTAATACACTATCAGTTATATATGTTTGTTGAAAATATCCGTCGGAAAAAAAATTCATAAACATATTCTATTGTATGATTTACTTTTATTACTATAATGACTATAATCATATCAGAAATCCTTAAAATATAAATCGTACATTTTATTTTTAAAAGTTGTACGGCTGATCACTTTACTTTCTTAATTATTAGTTGGTTAATAGCTACGCCAAAAGTCGTCGATGCGCTTCAAATCGCGTTATTAGATGATTAACGAACAAGACTTAAATGAGATTAATTTCACTCCCGGCATGCAAAAAGACTTAAACTACGTCACAGAAGTCAGGAAGTTCGAATAAATAAAATTAATAATTCCCAATTTTCTTCTTTATTAGCTTTCATATGCAGATAAAACTTGGTGAATATGTTTTTTATGGTATTATGAACATAATAAGATGATAAGTAAAAAATCGTGAATTTTCCCTTTAAACAAATATAAGATATTATAGAGATTGCATCTACAACCAGATCAATTTTTATACTGTCTGTGTTGTCTTCTGATGGTGTGTTAACTTCAAATGCTGGAGGTTAGTTTGTTACCTGCCGGAGTCAATACCAAAGACTTCAAAAATGGTATTTGCTGCATTTTTGCCAGGCACATGGCTTTTGAAGTAATAGCAAAGACTAGTGGGCTTTGAGTCAGAATATTGTGTCTTGGTAGGGTGACATGTCTTCCTGTGAACTGTTAACTTTTGAACCAGCAAGTTAAAATTTGAATGAGCATGTCTGTCTAGAACAAAGCAGGGTTCATATTCAACAGGGATATCAAATTAACCTGTTTTCGTTCTGAGTATGCATTTAATATGCCACTGGATGTTAGTTAAACAGCCATATATAAATCCATTTATGATTTTGAGTACTCATTATGATATTTTTATTTGTAGTTTAATACGAGCTCTAACCAACCCAGGCTATTCCTCATACCATGATTATGGAGAAAAGATTACTGATGGTATAGACATAACAAATTGGAATGTCCCAGTCCCTGGATCAAAATCCAACATCACTTATAGTGTCTGGGACTTTGCTGGACAGACTGTATATTATAACACACATCAGGTGAGGGACATAGTACAATTAAACATTTTAAAGGTGAGGTGGACTGTTAATGGAACAAAATACAACAGTTCCTATAGTGTCTGGGACTTTGCTGGACAGACTGTATATTATAACACACATCAGGTGAGGGACATAGTACAATTAAACATTTTAAAGGTGAGGTGGACTGTTAATGGAACAAAATACAACAGTTCCTATAGTGTCTGGGACTTTGCTGGACAGACTGTATATTATAATACACATCAGGTGAGGGACATAGTATAATTAAACATTTTAAGGTTGAGGTGGACTGTTTAAGGAACAAAATCCAACAGTACCTATAGTGTCTGGGACTTTGCTGGACAGACTGTATATTATAATACACATCAGGTGAGGGACATAGTACAATTAAACATTTTAAAGGTGAGGTGGACTGTTAAAGGAACAAAATCCAACAGTACCTATAGTGTCTGGGACTTTGCTGGACAGACTGTATATTATAATACACATCAGGTGAGGGACATAGTACAATTAAACATTTTAAAGGTGAGGTGTTCTGTGTGTGTTATTACCTTGTTATGTCACTGATGTTTTCAGATTTGTCTAAGCATACAAATGCTAAAATCAATTCTTTAATCAATTCTTTTATAAGAAAAAATAGTTTCTTTTTTTGAAAATATCTGTTTCCTGGCTCAGGTATGGGTCTTAGACATTTTATTCAGTAACCATCAAATTTCTCAAGGATTATTTCCAAATGTATTTCTAATACAGGACTTATTTATGATTTAAATTACACATATACAGTCTAACCTCTTTTAAAAGTGAAAACCTGTTTTGTCAGTTTGCCTTTTTTATTTTTGCTATAATAATACCTATGCATTTTTTTCAAGGTCACTTTTCTTAGAAAGTTAAGTTTTCTCTGCCTTAGTAGTATGAATGGAATCCTATGAAAGGTTAAAATTATAAAAGAAAAAAAAAGTTTTGGTTGAGAATTATATATATATAATTTTTTTTATATAAAACTAAGCAGGTGCACTCAAAAGCTTTACTTAAGACTTTTATTCAGTTTGTGAGTGCATCTGTCCAGTTTACTCATCAATAACATCGAGAAAAATGTGTTTTAACCCACATTGTAGAATGAAAGCTTTCTCTATTTTCAGTTCTTTCTATCCAATAGAGCCTGTTACCTTTTGCTATGGAATATACGTCTTGGATTTGAACATGCTGGACTAGATTTCTGGTTGAACTCTATAGCTTGCCATGCTCCTAAAGCTCCAATCCTTGTTGTGGGAACACATTGTGATAAGGTCAGTTCTAAATTAAAAGAAATTCAATGATACATCTTGTGCCAATTTTGTGTTCAGAATGGTTTAAAGTAGCCAATGATAAAGTAAGATCATAGAATTGTAAATTGGAGATGTCACATATTTTGTCAGATTTTGCAAACAGCTTCACTATTTTGGACGTAACCAACTTAAAATGGAGAAAAAATATCAATGAACTAATTTATTTTCTCAAATATGATTAATGAAAATTCTTAAATTAGATGAACATGTATATATATACTTAATCCATGAAATTGTGATATAAACATCAATTGTTAACTTAGATGACAAAATTTTAATGAACATCTCAATTCTCATGTTACGTTTGATATGTTACTGTTTGAAGAATTTGGAATAGATCTCAACTGAAAGACTGAATATTATTTTTTTCATTCATTACATTTATATTTTAGGTGGAGAAATCAAGGATTCCACAGAAAGAGTTAATGGCTACCTATCCACAGATTGCTGGGTTTTATTTTGTCAGTTCTTACTCAGGAGAGGTATTCAGATTAATTCTTATCATTCATATTTTACATTGAATTGATGTCAAGCAATGGCAAGCATAAAAGTGTGTACTTATTCAAATTTCAGTAGACTAAAAGTGAGGGTAATTAACCGAAAATATTTAAAATCTTCTTTTTATTACCTAGCATAAATAAGGATGATTATGTCCTGAGTGACAAACTATTAATTAATATCTTATTTAAGACCCTAGAATATACAAATATTGTGACTGTCCAAATAATAACATTTTTAGTAGATGATATCTTATTGGACCTAAAATCAATGTTATAAACAGGGTTTTAGTCATTTGAGTGTAAGATTTAAAGTCAATTGAGATTGAAATATGTTTTTGCAATTCCTTCATACAGAAAAATAACTTTATTCATATTTTTTTCAGGGTATTTCCAATTTACATAAATCTTTGGTGGATGTTACACTGCAACAGAAGTATATGGGAGAAAGTATTCCTGAAGCTTGGCTGTCTCTTGAAAAATTAGTCATGAAGTAGGTGTATGCGATTACAAAATAAATTCCACAGTATCTCTGTCAATGTATATTTGTTCTACCTAACAGAAGTTCCCCTGGAAACTTTGTTATAAACAATGTCGTAATATATGTTCCTGTTGGAACAAATGTTCTATACCCTTTATTCCGTAAGGAACACATACTGTTATATTTGTTCCAATGGAAATGATATTACAGAATATTTCTTCAACTTGGAACTTATATTATGCCGTGAGAAACTTCTATTTCGTGACATCTCAACTTAGTTAATTTCTTGACACAGAATAACATTAGGATAATTCAGGTTGATGTTTCCCTGGTTTTTTTTTTCCAGGAGATAATCAAGGCACACAGGACAGTTCTATCTTATGTCATATATCTTAATGTTTTTCATTATTTGGAGAATAGTGTGTTAATGACAGATCTTTGTTTTTGTTCAATTTATTCAAACTTTTTAAAACTCCGAGCTTTACTTTTTGTATAAACACCTGTCCTTTAAAGAAGACTGTATGTTGGTATATTGCCTCATCAAAGAATACCCCACTCTTCCTAAATGATAAATAGATCTCAAAGTATCCAAGAAGATGACAAAAAAATGCAACATCGATAGTTGCAATAGCTGTACTTATCCTTTACCACATTGAGTTCATAAGTTTGTTTATTTAGATTGGGATATCTGACAACTCACGAGGCACAAATAATAAAGTTTTTATTCCAGTTAGGGAAAAAAAGCAATCATGGTAAACAAAATAAGAATCTAAGATAATAATAACTGCTGCTAGATATTAAGTAGTTAACAATCAATCAATCCAAATACTACAGGACACACAATAGTTTACACAAATTCAGATAAATTTATTGAATTATTTCAGCAACTATCAATATGAAGAACAGCAATAAGATGAGTGCTCCTTTGATATTGTGGCTGCTTTATTTCATTGCATATATGAAAATAACCATCACTGGAAGTTAACCAATCAAATTTTCATCCCTTTTTTACCTGTGTACAAGCTTTAGTAACCATGTTACCTCAAGTTTCCAAAGTATTCTGTAGAAACACCAGATAAAAAAATAACGGTGCTTTGAAACACCCAAGACATATGTTTATGACTCAGAAATTTTTTACTGCAATGAAATGTAGGAATAATTTCCTACAACTGTCAAATTCAAGGGAATATTTTTTTTCAACCCTTTTTTGTATGCAACCGGATGTGACGAACTATGATTTGGTGGCATTACACCTTCAATAACTTTGGATCTCATGTTCATTTACATTATATGAAGTCCTTTCCAATCAATGATAATCTAAGGTAGTCTCATTTGGTCAGGTTGTTGTCTCTTTGACACATTCCCCATTTTTATTCTCAATTTTATTATGTTTGAGATATCACTTATTCATAAAGAATTGCAAGCATGGCAGTTCTCTTCAAAAAAATAAAGCCCATGAAAAATGAATTCTTGAATTAAATGATTATTTATTTCCAGACAAAGAGAAAAGAAGTTAGACCTAATTCCATTGAGTGATGTGAAGAATATGAGCAGTCAAGTTGGTATTCTGGATGAGGCAGAGGTATCATGTTATTACATTCCTTATTTTATTGTACAATATAAAGAGAAAAATACATTATCAAATCTTTTTTTGAAATACTGTATCAACCTGAGTTTTGTGGATTTATTTACTTTTGTGGATTGAGACAACATTGTATTTGATGGATGTTTTGTTGAAGTATGCATACAAGTCAAATTGACTTTGTTCTTCTTTGGATGCTTAAGTTTGTGGCATACCTTTACCCACGAAATCCACAAAAATTAATACTCCGTGAATAATGATTTATCCACAGTTATTGCCATTTAATCTGGAGAGTTTATATTGGTTCAGTTTGATGATGCATTTGATACATATTTTGCCATGCAATGTCTACTGCATGTTTAAAAGTCAAAAGGAGTTTCAAAATGTTAATAATTTAGCGCTGAATAGTAATATTTTTTAGTGGTCATTCTCTAACTGGTACACATTTATTCATGTAACTTTACACTTATACCAGTGGCATAGGAGAATTCTAGAATTTAGTTATGTCCCCTTTCATTTATTTTTTTTTCTTTTTGCCAAAAGAGTGGGGGAGGAGGACAAAAACATAATGCAAAATGGAGCCAACATAGCAAGATGAAAAAAATATTTTCAAGGACAAGAAATTGTAAGAACTATAAAGAAAAGCATGCTATAAAAGCATGTGTTTTCCTTTATTTATTTGATTTTAATAGCTTGTAAAACCTAAAATTTGGTGGATTTTAGATGAAATGACATATTTGTATTGAAAAGAATGTAGCTATTCATACCTTTTTATTTCAGCTGATACAAGCAGTTCAGTTCTTACATGACTTGGGATCTTTGCAGTTCTTTAACACAGAGTTCCTTAGGTCACTGGTAGTAATTGTTCCACAGTGGATTGTAGATGTGATGGCATGTGTTGTCACAGTACATGTTGGACCCATCCAGGTAATTTGACCTATTTAGTTATACCTATTTCTTGAAGTGGATGATCTATAGTGATTGAGGTGTCAGTTCTTCTTTGTGTATATTCTATTGCTCTTGACTTTGTTGACAGTTTTTTGTGAATCATTTACAGAATCTTACTAGCATGATTTACTTTTGCACCTCATATTTCATTTCTTAATCTGAATATATTTTGGGTTGAATGAGGTATGACAGTGGAAATTATTTGAATCCACTTTTCTTCCTTATCCCTTTTTTATTAGAATTTATTGATACTTTCTCATATTCTTTACAATTTCTTATCATTGTACATTGTCTTATTTAGTTTTTATGCCCCTGTCACGGCAGAGGGGACATTGAAATTTTACCCATGTCTATTGGCTCCGTCCATACATCCCAAAATTAGTTTCTGTTCTCTAACTTTAGTTTGCCTGAACAAAATGTAATGAAATTTATACACAATGCTTACTCCCACAAAACACAGATCAAGTTTGAATTTGGGTGAGGTCACTTTTGCTGTTTCAGAGTTAAGCCCTTTATATGTTAGCGGGGGCATCATCTGTGTCACATGGACTCATTCTCATTTATTTTTTATAAGAAATTCTTGAAGGAGTTCTTTCCCAAATCATAGACTTTGTAAGGCACAGACATCAATTTTTCTAGTTTTGAATGTGATGGCATGTGTTGATGCAGTTGAACAAATACAGGTTATTTGACACAGTTGATTGTAGATCATCATGGTGTTTGCATATATTGTAAATGTCCATGCATGTAATTTGACCTGTTTGATTGTAGATATGATGGCATGTGTTGTCACCATGTAATATGGCATTCCTGTCAGTGATTCATTAATAATCGTGAGTTATGGAGAAACATTGAATTTAAAAATACAAGTTTTTAGTTATTTACATAGGAACAACAGAAACAAGAAAGAAAAAAGAAACCTCAAAATCACATTAATTTTCTCCAACCATGAAAATTGATACCAACGAAAATAATTGAATTTACATTATTCAGAAAGTTAAGTTAGTCATTGGTGAATTTTGCAAGTTATAATCTTTCTTACAAGTACTGTCTTGTATGTATAAGTTGATATCATGAATTATCTTAAATGTTTTTTGGAAGTCATTGATTTTGTAGAATGTCTATGTATTTAGCTAAGTTGGAAACTAATTGATTGATTATATGTGAAATTATTATCTGGTATAGTTAATAAAAACATGTTAGAAATCAGAAAGTCAGATACCCTATGTGTAAAAGGGGAAAACTGTAATAATTTTGAATTGATATCCTGTAGTGCACACATACTGCAAATTCAGAAATTATTGCGATTTTTGAATAATGGAAAAAAATGTGAGATTAATTATTGCAATTTTGGGAAAAGACTGCATACAGATATATGGATCATTAATTAGAATGCAAGTTCTTATTTTTGCGATACTTACCCAGTTGCATATTATTCCCAATAATAAAACCTCCCAATAATTTCTGAATTTACAGTGTATAAATATATGTATGCCAGAAAAAAAAAATTGATTAAAATGTTCTTACAGGAAGGCAAACTGTTACATAAAGACATGAAAGTTGTTTGGCAGAGCTACCCAAAGGAACTGCATCCCTGGCTGCTTAGGTTAACAGAAGAATTTGATCTGACCTTCCCATTGTCTGATGAAGAGGCTAACCTGGTCCCTTGTCTCCTCCCTGATGCTGTTGTAGAGGTAAATGTCTATTTTTTTATTTAGATCTGTAAGATACCTACTTCCTGTTTGATAATACTTTGAATTTTCAATATGTTGAATAAATTTAAAAAATGTTGCCAGATATTTCTCATATACTACTAAACACAATGACTTGATATTTTGTCAGCAGCTCAACAATGATGAGTTGTAAAGTGTGTGCTCTTTTCAAATATGTCTGACACCTACTTCCTGTTTTCTGGTACCTTAAAATAAGATTAAGCTTGACAACATGTGCATTCTTGTTGAAATTGATACAAAATAAAAGTTGATATCATAATACTATTGATAGTTTTAATGACTTTCTATCATTTACTGACTAGATTTTAGTTACAAATTTTTATAAATTAACATCTTTTTTTGTGTTTATAGTCCGTCTGATGTGCTTCTTATATTCTTTTAGTGTAAGCAGTTAACACGGCTGTTTTTATAACTATTTATTTGCATGCTGCATACTTTGTTTTATATGTAATTGCATATGTTTTTATATTTGATGAAAATCTCATGAGGGCTTGCTTCAATAGTTTGTCACTATGCCTATTCAAAATAAAGTTTTACTTACTTACTTATATCATGGAAGTATTATAATACTTCCATGCTTATATCAAGTTTGATAAGTTTTTAATTAACAAAATGTTAGGTGGTATTAATTGATATAATTGTGCTCAGTATTTTTAATTTTTTTATTTCAGGTTCCTTGGCCTGCCATAGAAGAAGATTCAGATATAAGAGAGACAAAGGCCATATATAACTTCAAATATCTACCAGCTGGACTTTTTAATAGAGCACAGGTAAATAGATTTTCTGTAAAATGCAACCAAATAAAAAGCTTTGTAATCCATAAATGTAAACAAAGCAAACAAAAAAGGGGCCAACCATTCTGTTTCTATTATAAAGATCATGTACAAGAGCTAGCTATATGGTGTGAAATGTGAACATGTTAAGATTTATATTAAAAGTTCAATAAATGCATTAATTTTAAGTTTTTTGAAACAATTCATCTTAAGCTCACTTGGCTCATGTGAGCTTTTCTCATCGCATCAGTCGTCTGTTGTACATTATTCAGCATTGTATCAATTTAATACAAAGTAAGGGATACAATACAGTCTTCTTGGAGCCTCTAGTTTTATGTCCTTACCAAAATGTTCTTGAGTAAATTGTCTGAATTTAAATATGTTTGTCTTGTCTGTATCGAAAATCTCTTATTCAATTTCTGTTTGAATCCCTTATCACCCTCTACCTTACACAGAATTACACAAAACTTAAACACTCTTTTTAGGTAAGACTTCATCAGTTTGCAGAGAGTGGACAATTATGGAAGAAGGGGATGTTTCTGAAAAAGAACGATCATATAGCTGTTATCAGACAGAAAGGGTAATATTTCTGTTAATATGTTTAAATAAGGGAATTTTTAGAACAAGTGGAAGACCTAAGATGAAAACACAATACTTTTTTTATTCAATAGATCTATTTATTTCTTGTTGAAAGTAAAATATATTATTAGTATCATAGAGCCTTTTCCAAAATAGAAAATTCAGAACAAAATTATGATTTTTTCATAATTATAAAATTGTTTAGAGGATATGTAATATTTAGCTATAAATTTCGGCAAATGTTTGTGATTTATTTAATTAATTTTTGTTTGTCTTTTGGAAAGAAAGTTATACAAACAAAGTATTTCTAAAGTTCTAACATGCAGCACTTATAAAAGAGGCTTAGAATTAGAACCGGTATTATGAAATTTTTCTTTTAATTTCAGACAAACAATTCTAGAAGTTAAAGCCCAGGGTTATAGACCAGAGAACATTCTGTTTCTAGTGGATGAAGTCATTTCCACACTGATAGCAGAGTCTTATTCAGGAGTTTACTATGATCTGATGATTCCCTGTATAGAATGTCAAAATCTGGTACTCTATTTAATTGATATACATTACTTACTTATCTTCCATTAAAAATAGATTCATGATATTGACATTTAACCCAAGATGTGATATAATCATAAAATTGTTGAAATAGTCATAAATTTACAAAAGTCTGTTAGCCAATTCCGATAATTGACCCTGTAATTAGAGATCCCATTTTTAGTTGTCTCCCTTTGGAGGGACATAAATTTTAATTGACAATAGAGAGCTAGATTGAGCTAGCTAAATGTGTGTAACCTTTAAGTTTTTCAAATCTTTTAATTACATTTAATTTGTTGCTATTAAGCTAAATACTTTTGATACCAGAAGTTATTTTTCACTAAAAACTTGTCAAAACACCAATATATATCACTTTCAACATATCATGCTTTGCAAGGGCAAAAGCCAGTTTTTTCTGGTATAGAACCAGTCTACGATTGACAAAGGGAAGAAATTTGTTTAAAAAGTGTGTAATAACAGAATGAAATCGGTAATTGGAAAATGGACTATTAACATGTAGTTTTTTGTCAAATTGAATATTAAGAACACCCCTGCACAAAAAGATATTTTACTCACATAGACATCTTTGTATAAGATGTCAAATAGCAAAACATCTTTTGAAGCAAGTTTGAAGACAGCATCTCAAAATGAGGTTTAATTTGCAGTTCTTGCAGTATTTCCTTAAATGCAAGATGTTTAAGGACCTAAAGCAAAAATGTATGAAACAATAAAGAATATTGTGTTGCGGCCAGAAATCACCTTTAAATTGTAGCCAACAAAAGACACAAATCAATAATAAAATTTAACAAGATTTATTATACACAAGTTTACAAGAAGTATTACACAAATGGAAATGTCAACTTAACTGTCAAAATATATGTCCGATCTTTTGTCTTTTCTTTATCCGGAATTCTTCTCGGGAATTCAAACAGAATATTACGTCCAATAGGTCACAATCTAGTATGATGTTGTTCGAAAATATAAAAGTGTCAATCCAACTGCTGAGAATATTAATGTCTATCGATGTCTATGCCTGAAAGTTTAACTTTAGTGTCTGTATATATATAGTTGTCACGGAAATCTGTAGAACACTGTAGAAAGGAAATTCCTAGAAAACTGTAGAACGGAAATTTCTAGAACAATATAAGAAGTTTGAATAACGCATCTTTTATTATGATCATTCTGGAATCATTATGTAAGTCAAATAGAAAGTTCCAATCATTCCATCAGTATCTATGATTGTTCCAATGATTTCTAAACTGCACAGTTATAAGATTATTTTGTAAACAACTATCAGGCCACACAAAACAAATTAGGCCAACTAAATAAATATGATAGTTACAATATCATAACAATTGTATGACAGATTTATCGCTTTTGGACTTCTGAGTGATATTATTTGATAGATTTGTACTACTTTTAAGATGTTTAAATTCATCGGTCCAAAAATGGCCCCTTTTCCTATATATTCATGTGTGATAGTAGTTTCAGGAATTGGTTGATTCCTGTTTTTTTTTCTCTCTATGTAATTGTGATATATAGAATAACAATACATTGCCTCTAAATATAAATTTTATTATTTTATTTGTACAAGACTTAGAAACAGGTAGAAAAAAAGCTTTGACGAGCATTTCTATCCTGTTTTGAGCCAAGTACAAATAAAATTTATAAATTGAGACAATGTATGGTTATTCTTTTTATACTGCAACTCCTATAAGGACCTATAACTGTTCCAATTGAAATATTTAGGGTAAAAACCATCATTTTTTAATTTGGAGCGGACGACTTAAACATTTGTCGAAACTGTACTTTTAATAACGTCATAAATAAAACTCTACAGAAATGTATTGTCAACGTCATAAACAAGGTGATATACGGGCAGAGACTGTACTTCACAAATAATTATATGGTCAATACAATTTGACTGCACAAATAGCACAGCTGCTGCAGTATATATATATGTTGATAACATGTTAATTTTTTCCCAATAATAAATTTGATTTATACTGGTACATGTTTGATGGTTGCGTCCAATAGACAATTTGATTTTGAGTTAAAATAATTTAATATAAAAAAGATGCGGGATTAAGAAAAAACTTTTATTAGTTTGGATTTATTGAAAGTTGGTTGCGTACTGTATATATATACCAAACAACCAAACGGATGCCCCCACTTTGGCAAGTTTAGTTTTTTTACCGCCAGCCGTAAGAACACCTTTTATTTATATCCTTTGGACTATATTAGATTTGAAAGATTGGATTGGAAACATTTCACTTGTTAATTATATATATATTTTATTATATATTTTGTTTCATGCGTTTAGCAATGCAATAAACTTACTTTAAATGTACTATAACTTAATGTAGATTTCAAACTGTATACCATTTCTTACCGATAGAAAAAAAAATCTGCAACTTAAATCATTATGGAATACCCTGCTATATAAAACGAAGGGGGAAATATTTCCTTCCATCACATTTTGACATGAATACACTGTAACATGAGACCAAATACCGCGAAATAAGTCTCTCTCTTTCTCTCTCTCTCTCTCCTCCACCAAATATTTCCTTGAAACGGTAAATTATATATATAATGTTCTATAAATGAGGCTTTATATGAGATACACGTTTTATATCTAAATGTATTTAAAAAAAAAAAGACGAGACATCCATGGTATTTGTTCCCCTCAATGTCAGAGTCTGATATAAACCGAAAATTGCCAGGGATATATATAAATTCGTTGAAGACTTCTATGGTACCAGCGTCGCTTGTGATTCCTGCTGTCGGTATTAAAATTGTTATTTTGACTGTAAAAAGTGCTTAAGTCCATGTATGCGTAAAATACAGAATTAAAAAAAATAAATCTACCGTTTTTTATATTTCTTTGTTTTAGAGGTAAGCTTCTGGCCAAGTTATATCGGATATATATAAATTCGTTGAAGACTTCTATGGTACCAGCGTCGCTTGTGATTCCTGCTGTCGGTGTTAAAATTGTTATTTTGACAGTAAAAAGTGCTTAAGTCCATGTATGCGTAAAATACAGAATTAAAAAAAATAAATCTACCGTTTTTTATATTTCTTTGTTTTAGAGGTAAGCTTCTGACCAAGTTTCACAAGTTTTAACGCAAATCATTTACCTTAAATAACCAATCAATTGTATTCTAAAAGTTGTTGATTTGTTCTTTGTGCGAATACATGAAATATTTGTCACTGGACGTTATGCATGCAATCGATGATCAAATACAAATCTACAGTATTTATAAACATACTGCAATTGTATATATGAAAGAGACTAAATAATATGATTTTTTTACGCATATTTGAAGGATCGAAATAATCAGTTCTACAAATGGTTGTTATTGAAAGACTTAAAATTTTACAAATATCACATGCCTCTATGAAATTTCATATCGACGCACCAAACTATTTCCTTTAATCGTGCATAGCTCATTTTCCGATTCGCTTAAGGTTTTTAACGATCTTCTTACTTGTTCATTACATTCTAAAATTAAAATCCTACACAAATTGCCAAAACTTTTATTCTCAGGCTAGACAGCGTAAAAGATGAATACTGATTTGTTAGTGTACACACGTTGTTTTGAAGGCCGATATCCAATTTCGCTGAAAAAGAATTAATTTCCGCCGCAACTTAATTACGCCAATTCTTTTTTTTTTTTTTTGCATCACTTTATATAAAAAAAATGCAGCATTCATTTGCGCCAATAAAACAAGCATTTAATTGCGCAAATGTTATAGACTTATTTGCAAATTGTTGTTCTTAGTGCACTGAGGAGGTCCTTTGCGGTATTTATACGAACAAGTAGAAATACCGCAAAGGGCCTCCTTAGTGCAATAAGAACAAAATATTGCACTAAGGACCTGATGGAATGATAGAATTGACACAAAAAAACAGGGCATATAGAAGGAGACTTTCTAAAAGTACATAATTTCAAATTTTATAATCATATCTTTAGTAATTAAAAAAGTAATTTTATGTTTTATCGACACGCGTCACCACCCCCCGTTGATTGTCACCTGTGTAATCGATAGAAATTCATGTTCGTTCAACCTTGACCCGTTTTGAATCCAATCCGCTTGTATTTAACATGTTTATGATATTTCAATTTTCTCTGATTTTTTTCGTCTGTTTGTTACTGTCGTAATTCTTTTGTTTTTCTGTCTGTTATAATTTTTTTTAGTTCAATGTAATAATGTATGTTCTACTATTTTTTTTTTTTTTTTTTCCTTTTAATTTCTCTCGCTTGTTTGTAAACTTCACTTTTTTCATAGTTCTCTAGTATTTCTTTATCAAAAAAATATTTTAGAATGTATAAACTTGTTTACCAGCACATTAGATACACATGTTCAAAGTATAACAGCTTATTACATTTTTGTCGAGTCTGCGACTTTTGTCGCAAAAGCGGAACATAGTGATCGGCGTCGGCTAGCAAAATCCACATATTCACTCTGTGGTTAAAGTTTTTGAAATTTTAATTACTTTCTTAAACTATCCATGATTTCTACCAACAGAAGAATGTTTATGATCATAAGATAGTATCCAGAAGTAAATTTTGGAAGAAAAAAATCCTGATTATCTGTGTTTTACTTACATGTATAATGGACCTAGCTTTTCTCTCAGTTAACATTACATTCATTCTGTGGTTAAAGTTTTTGAAATTTACATAACTTTCTTAAAATATCCCAAATTTCTACCAAACTTGGATAAAAGCTTGTTTATGATCACAAGATAGTATCCAGAAGTAAATTTTGTAGAATAAATCGTATTTTATTTATAAATGGACTTAGTTTATCTGACAGCTAACATTAGTTTCACTCTGTGGTTAAAAGTTTTAATTTTTTTAAAAACTTTTCTTAAACTATCCTGGCCTGATTTGTACCAGTGGCACGTGCTGATTACAAAGTCATTTAACTTCAAAATAATAAAATCTATTGACACCAAACGTTATATCCATATTCTTTGTGATCTTAAAACACCGTTTTAGTGT